CACACACACACACACACACACACACACACAGTATGTATATACATGTGCACATGGTCTTGCACCAACACTGAAACACATGCATCCTCTTTACCTTTTCACTCTCATACATGTGCACTCACACATTTATGCACTCTGCCTCACAAATTCAACCTCTATCTCTCCTGACACATTCACACATGTACAACTGACACTCCAATGCACCCAGTAGCTGCAGAGTGTTGATTTGGATGAGTAAGCTACAAGAGGTGAAGGACACTGCCATGTATTTGCAGAGCACCAGATATTTAAACTTAAAAAGTTTTTATATTTATCATCATTAGCACTGAAGTCATAATTAGGAAATGTTGCTGTTTTGAGCATTGTTTAAAGCACTTTCATGATTTATGATTTATTTTTCATGTGCAAGTTCTATTCTATTCTACAACTGCTGCACAACAACATTTGTCTTGAGACAGGATATAATATGCTGTTGTCTTCCTTCTGTTCAGCTTCTCACATTTCCTTTACAACATGTGTGACTGGTGTTAAAGGATAAATCTGGTGATAGCTGCACACAAACATTGTACACAAAACCACATCATGCAATCTGTGATTGTAATTTTTTTTCTAATTATAATTTAATTTGAATCAATAATTAAAGTATTTCACCAATACTATTTGCTTGTTATTGACAGTTCAGGTGCCTCTCAAGTTGTTATCTTTCTGATATCTGGTCACAGTGAAGAGCTGAGGTGCATCTAAAGTGATCATGAGGAAAACGCACTGCTCGTGGCACACAACAGCGGTGCACATTTACCACACTGCAGTTTCAGCTTTCCTGCTCGCATCTTTATTTTAACAGACCATTTCGAATATAAACACAATTATTCTGCAAATATATATTTAGCACGGTGGGTAATGATCTCACCGTGGCGAGCTGCCATGCTGCATAAACAGCGTCACAGTTTGAGAGGGAGGTTACGAGTAGCATCATCAGATGTAAGTGTGTGCCGTTGTACATGTAAACAGTCTTTGTCTCCCCTTCACACACACTGTCGCTGTGTCACATTTGTTGTGTATACACTCATGCAAATTCAGGTTCTCCATCTTTCTCGCTTTCTTTGAAACAAACAGACATGTGCGAGCAAAAAGAAACAGTCATCCACTCAATGGCTGTGTTCCGTGCGGGTCGGCCTGCCGACGGGGAGGGTAAAACCTGGAGCTGAATGAGCTGAAGGATGTAGTGCCTTCTACGTGACCTTGCTGGTGACATCAAAG